TGTGAAAGACCTCCTCTGCCTGAGACCCTGCAGAGCTGCTGCCGGTCTGAGTAGACAATACCAACTTTGCTAGACCAAAGGTTCTGATTCAGTATATGGCAGTATACGTTCATGGGACTCCCTGCAGGGAGTACATACCTGGGGATATTAACCGCTAATAAAAACGTACCAAAGAGGAAGGGAGAGGCTTTACCAGGTCGTTGCACCTAAACGGCACACACCTTGTTTTACGGAGCTCGTCAGATGGGGCTCCTGAGCTAAAAATACCACACTGTTTATTGGAACACTGCCTATTTTTGGTCCCGGGAGAGCGTACAGGGCTGAGGAAATCTTCCCTCCCTCTCAGTAAATTCCTCTCTAAAGACCTCAAGTTTGCTCTCAGTGACTCTTGCCACCTTATGGTGATGGTGACTAAGGGGTACAACCCTCCCCCAAATCTTCCCTGTTCGCTCCCCAGATTTTAGTTCCAGCGTATTAAGGGCCTAACAGCAGCAGTCTTCAGTATTTCCAGACCAGGAACCCACTTTTCACCCTGGGTGAGAACACAGCGATCTGCAAGCATGCGGCAGGAAGTCACATGACACCAGAGATCTATGACAGGAAGAGGAGGAGCCAGAGTATCTGAACCCGCCTCTGCTAAGAAGAAATCTTCTCTCCTGCCAAGTGTTTTTGCCTTGCCATCCAGCTAAGGTTGCCAATGTCCAGGGGGGACCTGGATATCTCCCAGAATTACAGCTGATCCGCAGGTCAGTTCCCCTGGAGAAAATGGCTGCTTTGGTGGGTGGACTGTATGGCATTAGCCCTCCCCTCCCCAAACCCTGCCTTCCCGAGGCTCCGATCGCTGGGATTTCCCAGCCTGTTAGTACCTACACATCCATCTCTTGCTGCAGCATGTGTGCAAAGAAAGCTAGGAGGTATGATGGAGCCCTGCTACACATGTGCTGCACAAATAGATCCTTCCAAAAACTGGGGGGGGGGTGGAGGCAGCTATGCAGGGGTCATTTCTTAGAAAAAGAGGTGCAGGAGCTCATTAGCATAACTCATCAGATTAACTTATTTGCATATGCCACACCCCCTGACATCACCAGAAGTGTGTCAGAAGGCAACACCCACCGCTCAGGCTCCACTGGACTGTTTATAGTACAACGAAATTAAGGTGCAATCATTCGGTGATCTACAAGCATACTCATATACACTCACACAACCATACTCATATACACTCACACAACCATACTCATATACACTCACACAACCATTAGGGTTCACATTGCAACTTAACCACCAATGTCACCCAAATTCCAATTCATACAGCATTTAAAGCAATAATAGCTCTCGAATAAAAACTGTTTTTTAATCTGTTTGTCCTTGTTTTGATTGTCCTATATGTGTTCACGTCCCAATAAGAAGGACTCCATGGGTTGAAGACCACGGCCCTACTGCGTGGATTTATTTAACTTCAAGCCATAACATTCACACTTAACGTGAATACCAAAATCTTTGTTCCTCTAAACCAGAGGTGTCAAACTCATTTGTTACGAGGGCCGGATCTGACATAAATGTCACTTTGTTGGGCTGGGCCACGTGTGCCATAAAATGTAGTGCCCAGTACCGGAGATATAAACTTTATAAAGGACACAGGTGACCCCAATTAACAATATTATTTTTAACTTAAAATACAAACAAAATCAATTGATTCATAAGAACATAAGACAAGCCAATGCTGGATCAGGCCAATGGCCCATCCAGTCCAACACTCTGTCACACAGTGGCCAAAAATACCAGGTGCCATCAGGAGATCCAGCAGTGGGGCCAGGACATTAGAAGCCCTCCCACTGTTGCCCCCCCCCAAAGCACCAAAAATACAGAGCATCACTTGCCCCAGAGTCCCTATCTATACCTTGTGGATAATAGCCACCGATGGACCTCTGCTCCATATGTTTATCTAATTCCCTCTTGAAGCCGTCCATGCTTGTAGCTGCCACCACTTCCTGTGGCAGTGAATTCCAAGTGTTAATCACTCTTTGGGTGAAGAAGGACTTCCTTTTATCTGTTCTAACCCGACCACTCAGCAATTTCATGGAGTGCCCACGACTTCTTGTATTGTGAGAAAGGAAGAAAAGTACCTCTTTCTCTACCTGCTCTATCCCATGCATAATCTTATAAACCTCGATCATGTCACCCCTCAGCCATCGTTTCTCCAAGCTAAAGAGCCCCAAGCATTTTAACCCTTCTTCATAGGGATTCCTAGCAGTAAAAGCAATTGATTTACTGGGGAACCCACAAAAGCCCCAATAAATGTATTTAATCACATGCATGACTAGTTTTTCCCCCCAAGGGATACCATAAAAGGGGGAGTACCTTTCATTTCCATACATGCCAGTTGCTCGCAGGCCGGGTAAGAGCCCAGGACGGGCCTGTTCCGGCCCCCGGGCCTTATGTTTGACACCCACTGCTCTAAACAATGCAATTTTCCACTTCACCACTCAAGCCATTCTTAGAATCACCCTTCTCGGTTTATGAAGGAGCTGGAAAGCAAAAGGCTTCAAGGAGGGCCCCAGGACACACCTTTCATAAGGAGGTCTTATGACGTGTCTCTAGCGGGCAAAACAAGAGAGAACATCTGGAGTTCAGTGGCATGGGAAGCATCCCCCCCCCATGCTTTATCCATCCCTTTTCCTGCCACTCCTACCCAATCCCCACAAGAAACACTTCAAGATGCAACATTGTAAGATTGAGGGCGACTGCGTGATACATTTATGCAACAGATTTAATTTGCATAGTTTATTTGGATAGCAGATTTTGGCAGAGGGGATAGCACAGTTTTTGTTTTTGCGGATGTATGTTTGTTGTTGTTTTAACTGTGCTCTGAAGCACAGCAGAACTGCTCCAGCACTCGGGGCAGCAAGACGGCTTCCGGAGAGAATGTCTGACTCCAGCTAGCCCCCCCTCCCCACCCCCTGGGAGTGGATTCTGGAGTCCTCTCCAACCCCAAAATGAAAAGAGAGAGAGAGAATCGTAACTTGGCTAACTCTCGCAGGCTATTAAAAGAACCTCTGTTATAATTAGTATTATTGCCTCCTAAAGTCCAGAAATAAACCCGTTCCTGCAGGTTGGCTAGCAGAAGCGATTCTCAGGGAAAGAAACAGCTCCCTGGTTTAGACAGAAAAGCTCCTCGGATTTAAAGCGTGCCTTGGCTTGACTCAGGACAGCAGCAATGATTTTTATGGAAAGCCAAACGAGTTCCGTTTGCACGGGCCCGTGGGTTTTAAAAGGCACGTTACCCACACGGAGAGCTCTCTAAACACAGCACGGCTTGCTTTTGTCCACCACCAACCGATTTCCAACACAGAGCATCTTTCCCAGGACTGGACAAAGGACAGCATGCCATTCCTGTGAAGTCACAGGGCCCCCATCTCCCTGTCAGCCTACCCACAGCCCTTCCAAATGTTTAGGAGTGCTCCATACAGACATGCTGCACAAACATCATGATTTAAGGAGACTTTTCACCCCACACTGGGTCAGCATGAAAGCAACCACTAGCACCCACAGCCTCTGGGCATCCTTCCTCACCTCACAGGTCAATCCCTTCGGTCTGTTAGCTATCTCTTTCAACACAGCGGCTGTGGCTTTGTTCATGGGGCGAAACAGTCACACTTGGGAATTCACCAGCACCAGTACGCCTGGGTGCTACCATAATGCAGCGAAAGGCCGAACTAGACTGTCTACTGTTTAGAGCAGTAATGGCGAACCTTTTAGAGACCGAGTGCCCAAACTGTGACCCAAAACCCACTTATTTATCGCAAAGTGCCAACACGGCAATTTAACCTGAATACTGAGGTTTTACTTTAGAAAAAACAACTCATACTTAAGATGATCCAAACAAAGTAAGGAAAGCAATCCCAAATGCTTTCATTTACTTAAAATTATTTGGCAGAGAATTCGACACTTTAATGATGGCCTGGGCCTGGCTGGGGCGATGGCACGCGTGCCCACAGAGAGGGCTCTGAGTGCCACCTCTGGCACCCGTGCCATAGGTTCGCCACCACTGGTTTAGAGGTTGACCACCAGCCTTGTTGAACAGATGCATCCTGGGAGTTTCACACAGGGGTGGTGAACTGGCCATTAATGCCACCATGAAACTTCCTGGCGGGCCAGTGGCCTGGGGGCAGTGTTCCCTCTAAGCTGAGTTAGTGTGAGCTAGCTCACAGTTTTTTAGCCTCCGGCTCACACATTTTTGTCTGAGCTCAGGAAGGATGGCTCCAGAGCAAACTGATTTATGCAGCAGCCAAGTCGCTCGCTCACAACTTTAATGCCAGTAGCTCACAAAGTAGAATTTTTGCTCACAAGTCTCCACAGCTTAGAGGGAGCATTGCCTGGAGGGGAGCGTTTCCCGTCCTCCCTTCATGGGGGGGGTGGGGGTGGAGCCTGGCATAGCCCTTTTCCTGGGTTCTTGCAGCTTTCTTTGCCCTGATGGGTGGAAAGGGGGCTACATTGTTCTAAGTGTCTACAAGTGTTATCTCCTTAATGGGATGTCTCTCTTTATCCTAACCAGGGAGCTGCTCTCTGACCCCCTCCTCTTGTGCTTTGCCCTTTGTTCAATACCACTATCCACATGGCTGTTCATGGAGACACTCATTTCTAAAGGTCTCTCCTGCAGAAGCAATGTCCTCATGCTCCCACATACGTGATGCCGGATTTAGCTGGCCACTTGTGATAGGGAACAGTCTTGTTTAGATGAGGATTCTCTCTCCTTTCGACTTCAATATGGATGTGAACTGAATCTACTTGAATAAACTTAAGTTTTACTTTTGCAATATACATCTCGGGAGTTTATTTAATGCATGCAATAACACGCTTCTAAAACTGGGCTAACTCTGCTATATTGATGACATATCCCCAACACTATCCGCCTTCTGAGGTCTCCAGTCAGGTAGCACACGACTTTTCAACTCCCTACATAAGAGAAAGAATAAACCCTGGTCTCTTGGGTGCTGCCTTACCCCGTTTCTGGATGATGACCCGGAGGAGAGGATTGGCAGACGAGAGTGCTTTGTGGTAATTGTCGTCATTGTTGATGGGCAGCAGATCTCCGTGGACGTCCGTATACCCAAGAAGAACGTCCACGGAGGGGATCTGGTGGACTGTCTGAATCATCTGGTAGAATTCCTGGAAGCCACCGATGGTGGAGCGCTTCATGGCGAACCGGCGAAACTCGGCATCAAACTAGAGGAAAAGAGAAAAAGAGGGGTCACCGCCAAGAAGAGAGAGCTCGGACAGAATGTAGTCCAGCAGCAATCTGCCACACGAAACAGCTCTTGGAGACACCAAGGATGTTGCGTTCTACTTTGAATTTGGGAAATATTCACAGATTTACTTTTAGATTTTTTCCCCCCAAGCCTGAAGAGAAATTTATTTATGGAATTCATTTGTACCCTGCTTTTCTCCCCAATGGGGACCTGGCGCACCTTACGTTGTTTTCCTCTCCTCCATTTCAGTGTCACAACAGCCCTGTGCGGTAGGTTAGGATAAAAGAGTATAACCGACCCAAGGTCACCTGGGAAGCTTCCATGGTATGAGCGGAGATTCGAACCTGGGTCTCCTGCATACTAATCTGACAATCTTGACCACTATACCTCGCTGGCTCTCATGTGGCATCCTTAACTTGGGCATTAAAACCCAAAACCTGGGCATTAAATCCCTAACCTTACACGTATTATTTATTTACAGTGTATACATTCAGTCAAAAAAATCCTCAAAGCAGCCAACAGCATAAAATTGGACAACAGTTACAATTTATTTAATTTTTATTATTTAATTCATTGGTACCCTGCATTTCTCCCCAATGGTGACCCAAAGAGGCTTACATCCCTCTCCTTTCCTCCATTTTATCATCACAACAACCCTGTGAGGTAGGCTAGGTTAAGACTGTATGCCTGGCTCACGGTCACCCTGTGAGCTTCCATGGCACAAGTGAGGATTCAGATATGGGTTTCCCCAACCCTAATCTGACACACCAACCATTTCTACCACCCTAGCTCACTTTAAACTATTGTTTTCTGCTCTTCTCTTTTAACAGGATGCTCCTTGAGTCTTCTACATCACTGGGTAGATGTTCTCAGATGATTCCCGGAAACATCAGAGGCTTATAGAGAGGAGGGTGATGTGTGAAGTTCTCTGCATGGTCCTTGCTAGGCCCACAGCGCTTATGAGGAAAACCCTTGGAAGTGTGTTGCAGTTGCCACATTCCGGGCCCAGGTAAGTCAAGAAACAGGACAAAGTACTAAGCTAAAATCCTGAACTCATACTAGGATCCATCTGTCCTGCTAGACATTGTAGTGACACAGAGAACTCTAAAGCCTTTCTTCATAAGAAAGAGTAAAAAAAACCCCACCCATTTGCCCTGATATCCATCCTAAATCCAGCAAACTTTCCATTCTGCCCAGTGAAAGAATCCTGTGGAACTCAAAAGCTTGCACCACAAAGAAGAGCACCCACCCCTTTTCTTTCATAGTCCTTCTGCAGTCAAAGAATCACCTCAGAAGTAACTGCCAAGGCCTCTCATTAAAGAACGGAACAAGATATCGAACCTACAGTTGCATCTTGGTTACATAATCAAAACAACACGCAGGGTTATCATGAATCAGCAGTTCCCTTCATAAGTTTGATATGCGATGGCCGCATCTTCTGTGGTCACAACCTTGGGATCAGCAGGAGCCAATGACTTGGACCTTGATCAGGTGATGTGCCTGCCCACAAAGGATCCGTGGTGGGAAAAGAGCCTCTAAACCCTTTCCTTCACTATTTAACTCTCTTCAACCTCAACCTCAGTCATACAGAAGACAGTTGACAGCAAGCATACGAGAAAGGGCCTCTGTGGCTCAGTGGCGGAACATATGCTTGACATGCAGAAGATCCCAGGTTCAATCCCCGGCATCTCCAGGTGAAAGGATCAGGTGGCAGGTAACGTGAAAGAAAGATGTCTGTCTGAGATCTTGGAAAGCCACTGCCAATCTGAGTAACCACTAATGACTCCGATGGACCAAGAGTCGGATTCAGCGTAAGGCAATTCCATGTGTGTTCATGTCAGAAGCAACTGTATAGATAAGCCCTTAATACAATCTCTGTCCCAAAGACGCTAGAATTATCAATTCAGAGGAGCACCAAACAGCAAAGTCCTATTCAGCAGCTACAGCAAGAAGTTTGCTATATGTACTTGCAAACTATAAAGAAATCCATCAGCAATAATGTAATTTGCTACTGCAGATGGATACATCTATCAATAGCAGGATTGTGTCGGGCTCTGCTGTCATCCAGTGGCAGGTGCCGGATGCCAGGGGTCCCAGGAGACAGCAGTTTCTCTCCAGCCCCCCTGCCAACCCGTTTGGCCCCATCCTATGGATGGACAACCCCTCTACCTGGATTGAGGCGAGGGAAACTCCAGGAATGCTAAGGAGCTTCAGTTCTGGTTCCTTACAGAGACAGGGGACAGAGGAATGCCAGCCCCCTCCCCCTGGTTCTGCAATCCTCCCGGGTGGAGGTGCAAAAATGCCTGTTCACCTTTGGTGGTGGGGAGGGGGAAATAAGGAACAGGGCTTGAAAGGCGTTACAAGGAGTCAAAGGGTTCAGGAGAACGCCCTTATACCAACCCCCCCCCCCCAATTGTCAAGGGAGAGTTTCCAAGGGTTTCCCTCCGCCGCCTGTTATTCTGCTCCCACAGGCGCAGGAATCAAGGCAGTCCCGCATCCCCGCTGACCCCACAGGCGCCCCGCAGCTTCTCAGCACTTTGAAATCGGATTCACCGGTGGAACACGATCCAGCATAACCGATGCGTTCGGGGAGGAGGAAAGACTCCTCCCCGGTGTCGGCGGCAGGGGAGGGGGGCACGCATCGCCTTCCCGGGCCCCGCCGCTAAGTCGCCACCCGCTGCAGGCCGGTGC